GTATCTCCTCTATATGGCCTAAAGGCACATACTCTTTGTTTGACAATTGTCATTAATCCCCAGATCTTCACCAATAATCGCTTTGATTCTTCAAAATGATCTCTCCTCAATATCTTAGAGTAGACCTCCATTAGCTATAAGAATGCATTCAGTGGAAGTGCTCATTGAGGGTCTTCACAATCGTTGCTCCCCTATTTACAGCAGAAGAAGTGCCACTGGGTCCTGAGCCATTCACAAATTGTTCTGTTTGAGTCCATTTTTGCAGCTACTGTTTCATTCCACCTGGCCAAGGACTTTCCTCTTTTTCACTGACTTACACTTTGTTGTTGTTTGTTGGAATTTGCCAAGAAGCCAGTTCCAACCCTGTGGGACCCTTTGTACAACAGAACTAAACACTAAAGGGTCCTGTGCCGTCTTCACAATTGTCCTATGCCTGACTCCACTGTTGCAGCCAATGTGCTGATCCATCCTGGTGATCCATCCTCTTTTGTTGAGTAAATCCAACTATTTCACTGTCTTCCCTGAAGTCAGATAAAGGATTTCCGGTTTCCTAAATTGACTACCTGCAAGGTTTTAAGAATAGGCAAGAAAACTGATAATAAGTAAGGTAATTATATTGACAAACAAACATAACCTGAAATAATTCCTAAATTGTTGTTAAGGAGAGAAGTAGCAGAATCACCAAATGCCTATAAAGTGATTATATGAATGCATTCTAAGTTCCAATTCATAACTGTACTCCTGATATTCTCCCCCCATGTTCGCAAGGGAGACTCCTGGGAGATACTCCTGCTTTCTCAGGCTTTGGCACAAGTTAAGGGAACTAGTTTCTCCAGGAGACTCTTCCGGCCCCACCTGGAAGTAGTCACATGGTTGCCACAGAAGCCTCGAAGCCTTGAATGAGTCAGTCTAACTTTAATAGTGTTGACATGATATATTCTTGATGAGCAATCATATTTGAAGGGTTTTGACTTTGGTTCTTGTGTTAGGCTGGGTTGACTAGAGAAAGAAATCCAAGGCCATTCTTACATGTGTAAGACAGAGCTTTATATCAAGATGCAATTTTGTATCGAGAAAACATCCCAGCCCAATCCAACTCGTCTCTAAATCCAATACTAGTCTATAAGTCCCTCTTCAGACTCACGCAGTCACAAGCAATTGCGCAAAATGCAGGAATTTCATGGGTTGGTAGTTACAAATCCTGTGGATCCGGTGGCAGTGATAACATCACAAGGCTCTGGCAGCAATTAGGGTCATCCAGCAGGAAGGTGAAGGCAAAGAAAAAAGAGAAGGTTCCCAGGACTCTCCTTATGAGAAGGCCCCACTTACAAGGAGGCACCATCAGGCTGTGACCTGATTGGCAGGTTGAATACCACTCCTACACATTCATATATCTTCAAGTTGACATGAAATTATGTAACTACCACATTTCCCTAATGATTTACTCATCCGTCTGCTTTACCCATAAATCCTTATTTAGGCTTAGCAATTTTCATAAACATTAAAATTTTTCCTCAATTAAATAACTTTATAAACTTTGAGCTTTTATAATAACTTCACATAAAGGGATGTTTTGTACACTTCTGGTGTGGTATCCTCGCTAAAATATGTATTGTGTTACATAGTAGTCTGACACACATGTGAGAGAAGAACACACTTCTATGTAAATTATTTAGCCATGCCCATTAATTCTTGTTGTTGTTAGGTGACATGGAGGCGGTTCTGACCCATAGCAACCCTGTGCACAGCCGACTGAAACTCTCTCAGGTCTTGCACCATCCTCACAAGGGTTACTATGAGTCCATTGTTGCAGCCATGGTGTGAATCCTTCTCCTTGGGGGACTTCCACTGTTTCACTACCCCTACCTTACCGAGCATGATGTCCTTCTTTAGGGACCAGTCTCTCCTGATAACACGTTCAACATATTTAAGATGAAGTCTTGTCATTCTTGCCTCTAAGGAACACTCCACCTTTACTTCTTTCCAAAGATATTTGTTTGTCTTTGAAGCAGTTTCAATATTCTTTCAATATGTCAACGCTTTCAATAGCCTTCTCCAGCACCACAGTTCAAATATGTACATTCTTCCTCTGTCTTCTTTATTGCATGTCCAACTTTACATGAGGAGGCAATCAAACCACCTTAGCCTGGGTCACATGCACCTTAGTCCTCAAAGCTAAATCCTTGCCTTTGAACACTCCAAACAATTCTTATGCAGAAGATTTTCTTGATGCGACTCTTCCTTTGATATCTGGATTACGGCTTGCATGAGCATTGACCGTGGACGCAGCATGACAAAATCCTGGACAACTTCAACATTGCTTCCATTTATCATGCTGCTACACAGTGGCCCAGTTGTGAGCTTTTTTGTTCTTTTCTTTACATAGATTTGCGATCCACACTAGAGGCTGCAATCTTTGATCTTCATCAGCAAGTGCCTTAAGTCTGTCGAGATTTCAGCAAGCAAGGTTGTTTGTCGGTTTGCTACGCTTTGGTTGGTTGTGTGCTTCTGCAATGCTAACAGCTAGGTCTCTGGTATTTCAAATAGTGGCAGGGTTAACAAATGTGATCAGGTTTCAGTGTAACTTCCGGAATAAACATAGACAATGAAGAAATACTTGGGTCCCCACTTCAAAGGAAGGAGCTGCTAAAAAAAAAATGTATGAACGACTCAACTGTGTGTATGATAACAATGTGGGGATTCTAGAACATGTAATTGTGTTAATGTGAATCTTGTACATATATCAAGAGGCAGTTTTGCAAATGGAATAAAGGAATACTGAATGATTTAAATCAGGAAAGATATGTGACAGGGTGGTATCCTCTCACCAGAATTGTCTATCCTGTATTCTGGGAAAATAATTCGATAATCTCGATTATATGCCCGTTAATATGATACCTTAAATATTAATCAGTTTCAAAATGAAGCTAATGTGACTAAGCAGGTCCCAGAGAGCTACTAGAATGTTCCAGACTCTGAGAAAAGTGCTATGTTGCAATTTCATGATTGCTCATATTTTTGAAATGAGTAGTAAACTTTCTCTTGTTTCTAAACTATTGCCTAAATTACAAATAGATATTTAGCTAAGAAATACATAGTTTAAGACTAGATATATCCATCATTTTGTGGTTTGTGGATGTTTCTGTAGATTTTTACCTACAGTACGTTACCGTACATTTTCCATTCTCATTTGGTATTACATGACAGAATATGACTGTTATCACCATAAAATAAAGGGAGAGGCAAATCCTACTGGAACAGAGGAGAAAATGTTCATGCGTATTTGGTTTTATTATTCTTTTAATTTTTTATTTTATTATCAGCTGGGTTACTCGGGGTGCCAAAGTTCAAACCCATAGGCGGTTCTTCTAGAGAAGGATAAGGCTTTCCACTACTATAAAGAGTTCCAACCTCAGAAATCCACATGGGGGAGTTCTACTTTGTCTGATGGGGTCACTGTCAATTGAAATCCACTTGATTGCAATGGATTTGGTCTCTGGACAGGCCTTTGGCAAAGGTTATTCATCATTAAATAGGGTAGAACCATTCCCTTTATTGAATGGAATGAAGCAGGTCTCATATCTTACGTCATGTACAAAATGAATCCAAGATATATCAAAGCTATTAAGCCTGAAACCAAAAAGACCACCAAAGGAAAAATAGGGGCAAATGCAGGTCCATAATGTGTGGCATAAATATGCTAGCAATTAAAAGTAAAAACATACAAACAGAAGAAAACAAACTAGTTTACTGGGACCTCCTAAAAATTAGCTATTTAGGATTCCACCAAAAGAGCATAAAGAAAACCCAAAGAGTTGGGGAAGGGGAAGGTTTTCCAACATTCTGGCCAAGGACTAATCCCTAACATTTGTACACAAGTTCTACAACTCAACAACAAAAAGCCAAATAATCTGATTTTAAAATGAACAGAATATTAAACATTTTACAAAAGAAGATACCCAAGCATTCAACAAAGACATGAAAGGATTCTTGCCATTATTATCCATTGATAAAACATGAATCAAAATAATATGAAGTATCAAAGCACCCAAATCATAATAGTGAAGCTCAAAAATCAGAAAACAACAACACTGGTGAGGGTGTGGAGAAGTTAGAGTATTACACATTTCTGGTGGGATCTTAAAGCCACTGTGGAAAAGCATGATCCATCCTTAAAAAGTGGGAATTACAAACCCAATACTAGCCACTACGAAGAGGCTTCAACATTTCTTGTACTAATTCCATTATCTTTTAATTTAATTTTTCCATTTACTTTCTGAAGTCTCCTTGACAAAGGGAAATAGGAGTTGTATGTGAGTATCTGTGTGTGCCACATTCATGGCAGCCTATTGCTCATAGCAAACACATGGGAACAACCATGTGTCCATCCACGGAAGAACAGAAAATCAAACTATGGTAATACACTCATTGGAACAGCCTGTGATTTTCTGAAGGATTAAGAGTGTGCTTATAAGAAACAAAAAAAAGCTTAAGAAAGAGTATTTCCCCCAATATATTCAATCAAATACAGTAAAGAAAAATATAAATAATGCATCACATTTGCAAATAATTAAGAGTAATAATGTAAACAGAAAATACAGCAGTTGAAAAGTCAACTTTATATAATATGCCAAATTTATTTTAAATGTGTAATTAAATTAAACGTAAATATTGAATTAATAGGCAAATATATGTAGATTTTTATTGGTATGGAAACAATGACTATACACAATGAAGATGAAAAACTAATTCAACTGCTGATTTTGTTTAAATAAAATTCTGATAATTCTTTTTAATTGATAAAATACATAAATATAGCTGGTAAACAGGTATTTTTACTTTCAAAACTATTGTTTTAGAAAAATGGTGGGAATTTTATAGATATACTAAAATAATCTTGTATGATGTAGAAAAGTACACAGAGATTTAAAAAGATTAAAAATCGTACAACTTCCATTCGAGCACACAGCCTTGTGCCTATTAGAAAGAAATGCACTAACCTGTTTTAGGATCTACAGAGAAGTAGGGCTGTCCTTGGAGAATACTGTAAACAACCCGAGCACTGTTTCCATAGGTAGGGTCATCTGCATCAGTAGCTGTCACCTGTAGAACAGAGGTACCTGTGCATTCAGGAAAACAACATTTAGTTTATGATGTGTTTAGTACCTGATTTATCTGCATACACAGGATATGCTTAAAATAGGTGCTGCCAAGTAAATTGATTTCTTTCTTTTATATATCAAACATGTAATGCCTTTCTTCCCTTGCTGTTAATCATATTGACTAAGGCTCCAGGGTAGAAGGTTTAGTCTCAAAAACTTTAATGGGTCTTTCAATGTACTCATAAAATCCTCACCATCATAGAGACCAGGCCGACACATAGTAACTACACAGGATGAGGTAGAACTGTTCAGTACATTTCCAAGACTGTAACTCTTTTTTTTAAATCATTTTATTGGGGACTCTTTTTTTCATAAAAAGTATAATGAATTTTATGAAATTAAGAAATAAGTATTACTAATATAGTTCCACATAATTTTTATACCTATGGGTGAATGAATATTACCATGGGCACTTAGAATACACTATTGCACAGATTAAAAAGGGAATGTAAATTTGTGATTTCCACATTGGTAGCTGTCCATCCACCCACGTTAGAGAGAACCCTGATTACAAATTCCATTTTAACTATTTGTTTGCTGAACACAACAAAAAATTAGCTGTCGGTTCTGCTGAACCGCTGTGAACTGGCTGAATCACATCACTGCTTTACAGAATTTACAGAATTTTATATTCATGGGGTCATAATTTACATGCTGCCCTGCAATGCTTACATAATTATATAGTTATAACTGCATTATATAGTTATTTCAAGTCAATAATGATAGGCTAGAACTACAATGCAACACTATAACTAAAAAGTTACAGTGATTCCATTGTATTTATGAATCATTATTTGCACAACTAGCTTCCTATGATTGAGACTGTGGGTTGTTTGCATATTTTGACACCATAAAAAACACAATGGTCAACAACAACTGCTGACTTTTTGTATTTGCTCAACTTTCTTTTTAGGGGCATATACATTTTACAGTTTGTTACAATTAGCTTACTCCCCTTGAAGGGATGGCTAACCAACACCAGGTTTGAGGACGTTATTTGCACCCTCTTATTAGCATTGAGTTTTATCAGATCATGGTTTTAGATTCAGCTTTGTAGACTGATTAAAATATTTGATGAAATTGAGTACTTTCTCTCCAATTAGTTAGTATTGCTTGTTCACACTTATTGTTTAATTATTTTATGTGAGCTAAAGTGCTTTTTTTAATCATTTTATTGGGGGGGGTCATACAACTCTTATCACAATCCATTCATCCATCCATTGTGTCAAGCACATTTGCACATTTGTTGCCCTCATCATTCTCAAAACATTTGCTTTCTATTTGTGCCCTTGGTAACTCTTTAAGGGAGTAGAAAGTCCTGTCTCTCTCCCATGGAGCTGCTGGTGTTTTTCAACTGTTGACCTTGTAGCTAGCAGCTCAGTGAGTAAACACCACGACACATGGGCTCCTTCCTCATAAAATACTGAATGGTATTTTTAACCATCATAGAAGCAGGGGTGTGAGGTATGCATGCTGCTCAAAGATAACGTGGTTTCAGTGTGGGGTGAAATCAAAGGTATGGCACACATATACACTGAATGCCATGGAGTTGGAATGGTTTGGGAATTGACACTAAATAATCTGTGGCATCAGAACAACTCATTAAGTCCTTTTTGTTAAGTCAGATGCTTTCCACTTATCTGAACTATTTAGCGAGTCCCTCAACTCGTCTATGCAGGTATAAGCTTGCTCTTTGAATGTCTTCTACAAGGCATTAGCATGATTTTCATTCTAAAATGTAAACATAATGTGCCCATAACAATTGATTTTCAAAGATGAGTGTATTTCCTAAATAATTTCAAAGGCTATATTATGAAACAATTCAGTGGATCAAACATTAGTTTCTCCATGTTTACATTTAAACACTTGATTTGCATAATTAGATATATCTTCAAAATATTTCATATTATTTCTAAATGAAAACTAATTTGAATGTAGCATGATAACTACCTATTGATTATACATAACTTTCATTGTAGAGTTATTAGGTAAGACCTCTCTCATCGCTTTATGATATATGCTTGATGAATTATCTAATATTGCACCAGAATACTTAGTATGCAT